CACGCCTCCTTCTGCCTGTTACATACATTTCAACAAAACTATTATACCCTGATTTCCCATTTTCAATGGGTTCAGGGTATACAAAAAAAAAAAAACCCATACATTTTCAACTTGCGTGTGTCAAAGGTTTGTCTGATAATCAACAACAGCCAGAATAACAACAACTAGTGCAATTGAAATAAGAATCATTATTAATACATACATACATATGTATCAATGAAGGCACGGCCAATGCAGTCCATCATTGTGAGCGAAGCGAGTTGCCATCATGTTCGGCATAGAGATTCATTATAATTACATGTTTGCCCCATGACAAATGGCAAATAGCACAGCGCACAACACACGAACACACACACACACACACAACAGTGTTCAGCAACTATAACGGTTCATTTTTTTGAAAACCCCAACAGCATTTTGTATTAGTTGGTAACAGTTTATACATTATTGATATTCGCATAGCATCAATTTCGTTGGAGTATAATCAAACATATATATAAACACAGAATATAATACTCAAATTCGATTACAGTCTTATTAGTTAATTAAAATTGTATTTTGTTTACTTTGAGAGTTACAACATGATTTCAATATATTTTATCTAAATATATATCTATCTAAAAGCCTTTGAGCTGCCAAGAGTTGTTCAAATTAATGCATCAATATGTATGTATATATGTATGTATTTGGTATATATACTCATATATTTAAATACATATGCATATACTTGTTTTATTCTTTTCATTTTTTATTCGCATGTCAGAGTAATAAAATATATATTTATAGATCTCACTTTGATCACGTTAAATGAGCTTCGCTCGTGACTGAAGCACAGCCATTTGGTATATAGATCAGCTTAAAACTTCGTTGATTGGGACTATATATTTGCACAAATAATATATATGTATATAAATCTTTTATTATATCTTTACTGAAATCTAGTCAATTTGATTCAAAAGTCTTTAGTTGTCTTTGAATAACATTTGTTTTTTTTTTTATTTCATTATTAATCATTTCAAAAATACGAATAAATTTTATATGGGATACTTTATTTTCATGTTTTGGTATTTTACCCATGGACTTGTATATAATACCACTAACACCAAATATATACATATATAATATAATTATATAATATATATTTCAATATATTCTTTGAAATTTCATCACATGTTTTGTTTTCATTTGATATCATGGAGCTTTAATTATGTTCTGATTCTACTTCGCCAAGTTTTGAAGAGCCCAAGTTTAGAGATAACTCTGTAAGCACTGAAATTGCCGGTGATATGAAAGATAATTTGTTAATTTGCTAAAACTTGTACTACAAATGTAGCACATATTCGTATCTTTGGTTTTGTATTCTTCTTCTTTTAGTTAGCTCTGTTTTTGTTCTACGGAATTACGTTATCAATTGAGTGTTAGATAAACCATATTGAAGCACTTTGGTACGGTATGGAAAGTTCCGATTAATTCGTCTTTTTTTTTTTTTTGTCAAATATGAGTGAGCAATTAGAAGCATTTCAAGAAAGGTCAGTTTTAGATTGGCAAGAAACCAAGTTAAATTTCAAAGAAATCGTGAAATTTCCATACGATTTTTGACTTTATCCTCGAAATATTATTCAATTGCTGGCTCGCCATAGCACTGACGTTATTATTCTGCATTGTTGTAGATAGGTTAATTGGTTTGGTGATAATGAATATGCACGGATGGCACGCAACGGCAAAGACAAATCGCCATTGAGTAAAATTCATTGGAATTCAAATGGAATCGCTGCGCAATATTATCTGGGAATTAAACAAAACATTTTGAGTAATTGGCCTACTTAATAAGAATTCAAATTATAATCCAATTTGATTTCGTTTCTTTATATTTTTGGGTTTTTATTTTTATTTTTATTTTATTTATTTTTTTAAATCTAATCTTTGTTTGACTTGATGCTCTTAGTTCTCTTCATGTCTAGCTGGCCGCACCAATCTCTTGCCCTCATCTTATTCTATACTTGACATTACATGCACAATCCAGTATCCGTAAAAAGAAAATCTTTAGATTCATCACTTCAATATCTAACTCTGCTGCAGATCAGTTCGATTGCCGATCGATTGAGGAGCGTTCCGTTGAAGATGGGGCTGATGTCGCCCAGAAGCGTGAGCGCAAGTCGAAGTAATTGTATCAGCTTCACCCTGCTGCTGTTTGGTCTCATCCTGTGCGTTCTGCCACACTTGGAAGCACTCGAAGGTGTTCAAATTGAGTTACTTTTTCTTTGGGTTAAAGGTCGCATATTGAACCCGATCTCTGTTTGCAGAGGGCGATCCATGCACGCTGAAGGGCAATCTGGCAGGTATTTGCCAGGGGTCCTCCAAATGCGTGCCGCGCATCAATAAGTACATCGAAACGAAGAGATTGACGCCCAGTGATATACCCAGCTGTGGCCTGAGCACCCGGGAGGAGATCGTCTGCTGTCCTGTCGCCGAATGCTGCGGAGATGATCAGCGGTAAGAGAGAGGGAGAGATAGAGAGAGGGTGGGTGTGTTTAATAATGGATGGGAACTTGTTTTTTGTTGCTTTTGTTATTGTCCGGCCCCCCCAAAGCTATGTGATCCACGTTGTTGCTCGTTCCATAATCTTAGCCACTCAAGAAACCGGGGCTCTAACCTTGTTTAATCTAATTTACGTGCAGCCCAAGTAGCAGCTCAGTGAATGATTTGCCAACACGGAAACCGGACAACGCAGAGCACGCTTGGCACAATGTAGATTCTCGTGGTAGTGTCGAATCGACCACAGGACGATCAACGCCTAAAACTGACAACTCGAATTTATGGAAACTGAAACTGGATCCCGATTCGCCCTATTTTGATTTTAGCCAAATGATGAGCGGGAGCCAATTGCCAAACACAGTGCCCGGGGATAGGGCTGACAATACAATCAATGAAAATGTAGCAGGAGGAGGATCTCATATTTCAATTGCGCACAATGCTGCAGAGAGTCAGCCATTTCCTACAAGGGATCCGCGACCAATACAAAGCGCATCTCCTCCACATGTATTTGAGCCTGTACATTATCCCACCAGAGAGCCAAGAATAATAAACAGACCGTTTCCGCATGAACACCCAAGGAGGATCATGCCATGGACAAGTCCTAGCCAACAGCCCATTGAATGGCCAGGATCAAATTCAAATACTGCGACCAATCAGCAACCAATCTGGCAGCCTCTTCCAGAATATCCTGCGCCCTATAAGGAAACCCAAATGCCCCAGAGCAATAGCAATAATGAATGGAATTGGTTTGTGACAGATGCATTTATGCATTTATGATATTGAACATGGATTGCCACTAATCTCTAGTACCTGAAATAGTCAGCGCACTAAACCTTTGTCTCGTTCCTTTTTCTTCCAGGCAAGAGAGCACGTCGAGATCTCCTCTTCCGCCCGCTCCCTCGCCCCGAACTGATGTACCGCGGCCAGCTGTGCAAGGTGTGTATTTGAGGGGGCTGCCTGACTCCTCTTAAATGTTCGAATGGATGTTAGGAATAACAGACTAGACAGTCCTAGGAAGATTCATTATCTCTATCAGTTTAAATTGGTTGATAACTGTCGGCATTCCATCCATTCCATTCTGTTTAAATGAAAATCCTAGAGAAACGAGTGTATAAATCTGCTTAATATCTTCCGCAGCATGTCGGGCGATCGAAACACGTCAACTGGAGTACGGCTTAACCGAGCACATCTTGGATGGCATTGCGGTGGACCCAGGCTATTATCCGCATATGGCAGCAATAGCGTTTAGTGAGTTTGATAACATTGTATTTGGTTGCGGTGGCTCGCTGATCTCAACTCGGCATGTCCTGACGGCGGCTCATTGCGTCAACGATCCGAATAAAATACCCCTATTCGCGCGCCTTGGAACGGTGAATATTGATAACGTGAGCGAACACCGTCAGGACATTAACATAACGGTACGTGGCACGCCTACATGCTAAGCATGCATTACATTGACATCGAACTCTCGCCGCCAACAACAGACGAACATCAACATACATCCGGAATATGTTAGCACCAGCAAGTACAATGACATCGCCATACTGGAGCTGGCCGAGGAGGTCAGGCTGACCAATCATACATATCCGGCGTGCCTGGAAACGGAGCTATTCGATCCGCCATCGAACGCGAGCATCTTTGTGGCAGGCTGGGGCATAATGAATACGACCAGTATGTTATCATTGGATCGGGTTAGTTCAGACTGATTACTATTACTAAATTTGTGCAGCTCGCCGAACTTCGAAAATATTGCTGCGTGCCCCACTCACCGTGGTGCCGCTGGCCCAGTGCAACGAAAGCTTTGCCGCGCAGCCGCTCAGCCAACGATATCTGGACAAGGGCATCATCAATACGCTGCTGTGTGCGGCGGATTTAATAAAGGGCACGAAGGATGCCTGCCAGGGCGACTCCGGTGGCCCCTTGGTGCTGGAGCGCGACAAAGAGAACAATAAATACAGCGTCATGGGTGTCATATCGTCGGGCTTTGGCTGTGCCACAATCACGCCGGGCCTGTACACGCGTGTCGCATCCTATTTGGACTACATCGAAGGCATTGTGTGGCCAAATGGGTTTGTATGACAGTACTGATATCAATGGATCCTCAATGTGTGTATAAAAATAAATTCTAAGTATATCGATTTTAAATACAAAGCTCATATATTATTTAGTGGTCGAAGAATATAACTATTTTCTTTATAACATATAGTGAGAATGGGATGCCTTTGCGGAGCGGTGTGGATCGCCATTGGTTGTGGTCTACGCAAAGCAAAATATTCATTCTTCGGCAGGCTGATGTTAAATTTAGTATTTTTTCTTAGAAAAAAGAAAATAAAATAAACAAAATAATTAAAATTAATAAATAATAATAATAAAAAGTAAATAAAATATTAATAATAAAAAAGGATTTAATGATGCGGAACATGATTTTATTATATTTTAGGTAAAACAAATCTACTCAAAAATTGTAGAAATATGGTTTAAATGTCACAGAAAATATTTAGAATTTTTTTAATTTTAGTTAATTTATAAATATTTGATTTCAATTTAAATCAACTTCAAAATTGTTTAATTACTAGTTCCGGTTGCTTGACCAGTTCCTTATTAGCGCGCTCTCTGCCATCCACATATTTACGTAAACAGAGCAACTGTCATGAAAGTCATGCCCCACTTGCTCGCTCAGTCAAGCTCTCTCTCGCTCTGTACGAATCTCTCTCAATCTCTCACCGAGTTGCACTGTACCGCACAGCATTGCCAGCAGCAATAAACAGGATAGCCGAAGCTTTAAGCTTTTACGATTACAGAGCTTTTTGGTGTTTTGTTTTTTCTTCTGACATTGAATGAAACAGCCGTGTTTTGGCCGTTACAAAACGCCGCTGCCGGAAAAGCAGCTGACGCCGTCGCTGCTGCTCCTTTAGCTTGGCCGCCCGATACCATCGTTCCACTGTCCCACTCTCCCATTCTCCCATTCTCCCACTGTCCCATTCTCTTACTCTGCCAGCGCTCGTCGCTACCCACACGCATTTCGTAGCGGCAACAACTGTTTCAGCTGCTTCTTAAATGCTGCTGCTGTCGCTGCGGACGCCTCAGTTGGTCGCGGGACTGCGTTGCCGTTAGTTCGTGCCCAGCATTTTGGAAGCGAACGGAACAGCCTTTTAGACGGTGCTCCATACAAAACATTTATTTTTTTTCTAGTGCTATTTGGCAGTTACTGTTGCCGTTGCTGTTGCTCCTGTTGTTGTTCTTGTTGTTGTTGTCATCCGTTGCTGTTGCGCCGTGCAGCATGCAACGCTTTTGGCGCGCCTAGTTTGAAAATTATTGTTAACCGTTGTGTAAATTGTGTGCGGCTCCGGTGTGACAAATGTAAGTCTTGTACTCTGTGTTGTTGTTGTTGTTGTTGTGTGTTGCACGTTCCTTATCAGCCGTCGCATATTGACGCATTAATCACAAGCTGGGAAATTGATTCCAATTGCGCATCTGCTGCCTCGATAAGCATCATAAACAATAATAAAAAAAATAAAAATGAAATAGAAAAAAACTAAATGAAAAGAAAAATAAATAAATATATAATAATAACAAAAACCTGTCCAGCAGTAGCCCATGCCAATCGGGCAACGTGTGCCACGATAAGAGAACAGTGGACAACAGGTGCTCCACAATCTAAATACCAAATATCACATTAATCCCCCATTCAGCTTAATTGTTACATACGAAATATACTGTACATATTATTTATAGAGCTGGTCCTGAAAAAGAAGTCTTTAAACTTCTAAAAAGCCGACTATTAAATGGAGTTTAAATGCAACTAGAAAAAGAAATTTTTTGGAGTTTTTTCTTGGCATTTAAAATTGTGTTTTATTAACATATTTGTCTTCTTATTTATTTATTTATTTGTTTTTTAGATATTTTCATTAATTTTTATTTTAAATTCAATTTATTCAAATTAAATTTTTACATTAGTTTAAATTGTACAATTTGCTGTTATTTTTCAAATATATAATTTCTTATCAGATAGGTATTTTGCTTTATCTTATATTAGAAATTCCTGAAAAATTCATAATTTTTGTTTTGGTTTTTTTTTTTTTTTTTTTTTTTTTTATAAATAGGTTAATTATAAATTCGTATTGGTCACATGACAGAAAGGAAACATTGATTAATTCCCCCCTAAAAATTTTTACTTTTGGTAAAGCTCATGGCATTTTTCTTATTTCAAACATGCTAGAAACAATAAAAAAAAAAAAATAAATAAAATAAAAGACTAGCTTTAAGTACTCTTTAATCTCTTTTAAGGCCCGTCACTTAATCTCATATTTAAATTGAAAACGAACAATATAATTTCAAAATCTATTAAATCCAACAAAATCAATTGAAGCTTTAAGTTGATTTTAATAGTCTTTGATGTAATTCTATATTGATGGAGTCTCATTAATTTGATGGCAAATTTAACTGTCTTATCGGTCAAGCTGACAATTCGAGCGATATTTGTGCTCGAATTCCGTTTGATAAATTGCCAGGCAATGCGAGAATTTTCACGGTCAGTCGGTCAATCAATTAGACATTATCGAGTGCATTTTAAAGCAATTTGTTGCCAATGCGTGGTGGGCGTGATGTTGGGGGCGTGATTATACGGTGAAAACTGTTGCTATTATTGCCCATGTGGGGCTGGTGGTGTGTGTGTGTGGGTGGATCTCACGAATTTCGCTGCTGGCGTTTGGTTAGAAAATGTGGCTATAAATGTGACACTAAGTTAATAAATTTATGGCCAAAACACACCCAACTGATATGCTTGCTATGTGTATAAGTGTGTATAAGTGTGTGTGTGTGTGATTGTTGTTTGCTGCTAATTTTTGTTCTCTTTGTCCATGTGTGCGCGGCTTTGACACGACACCGTTGCGGACATCAGCAAGGCGAATGCCAAAAAGTCGAGAATTGTCTGCATGTGTGTGTGTGTCTGTGTGTGTGTGTGTGACGTTGGCATATTAATAATATTTTTATTGGCCGCTTATTTGCCTTTAGTGGCCGAGCTGTGTCTGCCTCCGTGTGTGCGCGCGCTAAATACTGGACTAATTTGGGGCTGGCAAACACAATCGCCCACAAAGTTGTGACCTCCTTTAATTAATAAATGTGCGCGCCGATAACACAAAACAAGGAATGCTTAATAAAATCAAAAAGCATGCAAAAAAAACAAAACAAAACAAAACAAAACGTTAATTATATAAAGGAAGAAAAATCAATTTTCCCAGCATTTTTTTTTTTATTATTTTTTTTTTTTTTTTGGGGCAGGTCTTAGATGTTGTTTATGATGTGCCTCAGTTTGAGTCAGCTGTTTATAATGTATGGATTTCTATAAAAGCCAATGGCAAGGACCGATCTCATTGAATATGCATGTGCTTCAAGGAAATTTAGCTGAAAGCACTCGCAGGTGTCAGGATCTGCGTCTCCTCGCGCTTAGTCTGACAAATTGCATATCAAATATTCATAATTTATTGGTGATTTTTTTCATTCTCTTTTTAATGGAAACAAGCACAGCTGCTGGCTGACTGCGGCCCTTGATTATGAGCGGTCGTAGTCGATGGCGTAATGCTCGTTCAAAGTTCATTTAGAGCTGGCAACAGGCTTGAAATGCGTTAATTTATATACATTGGTGTATATATCAGAGCTATGCTTCACAAAAGAGTCTAGACGCAAAACAATTTGCATTTGGTTCTGGCTGATAATCGAAATAATGTTTTACATGTTGTATAGAGTTATATATTACTATGGCAATCATAATCATTAGCAGGCACATCAAAGGAATACGAGAATTTTTGTCGACTTATATTTACTTTAGCTGAGCGCTCAAAAGTATGCTACACTTATTAGCTATACTAATTTTATTTTATTTTATTTAATTATTTATTTTTTGTATGCATATTAAAGCCATAAAGGTTACTCCAGTAGCCCTTTGGTGGGTTTCTTATCTAATTACGATTTATATATATTTAATGTTTAGTATATTAATCTCAATCTCAAGGAAATTGATTAAAGTTTGAAGGCAATTGAAACCGGCATATGTTAGTATGAGAGCGATTATAATGCCGTCGGAATTCTATAGAATTTCAGCTTACATAGTTTCTTCATTATCTAAAAGCAAAGCATACAAAGTTTTAATTGTCCTACAGCAATATACACGAAATTCAAATGAATTGAGAGTTTCTATAATTATCAAACTACTATGAGCTCTGTTGAGCAAAAGGTTCGACTGCAAAGACTAAGCACAGGTATTTGCACTGGTACAGTCGAAATACTTGCTATAAAGGAAGTAGAAATGCAACAAAGAAAACACAAGATGTAAAGTGAAATTGCATTTACTTTAGCAATGCGCTCAAAAGTATGCTACACATTTTACATTTTCGATTTGCAAAGCCTTGACTCGAAAACAATGGGCTCGTCTTATAGCTACAACAATTAGATGTATAGCTAAAACTAAAGCTTGAAATGAAATAGTTGCAAATTCAAAAAACATTTAATTGAAAATGTGGAATGTTTCAATTGTTCTAGAGCAACAGACTGAAAATGTGCAAAACTTTGATATGGAGAAATTTATTAAATCACGTTTGCTCTAGACATGTGCTGCTACAAATACGGCTTTCATTGTGGCTCCTGGTAGCTGTGTGGCCTTTGGAGAATTTCAGCCAAGGTTGACGAGCTTTTAGAGACAATTAGCTAGGAATGTAGTTGGTCGACTCGTTGCTGTTGTGTGGATAAGGGGCAATAGATACAGTTTTAATTCCAGGCAGAGCAAATATTGTCAGAAATTAATAGTGCCAGTGCTACACAAACAAAGGCACAAAGGTGATGTCTACATACATATATATATATATATATATATGTATGTGGCTATCTACAGTTGTTGCTATGTATATGTATATGTGGTACATTAAGTAAACCCCTCTCTGCATACAGCTAAAACTCCAAAGCCGACTTAAGCAGAGATTTGCCGCAGATACTTTGATGCCGCTTTGAGGAATGCAGCAATAAAAATGCCCGAGCAGAACGAGGGCCGATGCTCCAGCGTAAGCGGCTAATAGCGTTAGTTACTTAGTGGAGTCATTTGACCAGCCCGACGATGGAGCTCAGAGACACACCCGGCTGGCAAAATGTGTGAGAGTGTTAGTGTGTGATTGTAATGCACATAAATTTACAGAAGTTCATTTTTGTGTAGCGCGTAAATCTTTACACAAATCTCTCATTTCGCCGGGTCATATGAGGCCCGAAAAAGAGAAACAATACAAGTCATAGTGCCTCGGTGGGGAGTTATCGACTAGCCGATGACCTGGCCATCAAATGGCAGTCAATTGGGAGATGTGTTATGTTGAGCTATAGGACATTGTTAATGAATCTGTGGATTACTTCTTATTATAGACTTATATCTAAATTGAGTATCACATACAGTTACATGCAATGTGTGAGAGTCAGTGCTGCCCCTGGCATTGCTTACAGGGTATACAACAAAATCACTGCATACAAAATCGCTTGAAGGAAACGAAAAGATAAACAAAGCATAACGGTAATACACACACACACACACAGTCGAATGGAAGGAAAAAACAAATTACATATATGTGTACATGCATGCATGCATATATACACACATTCAGCCATATATGTATGTGTATGCGTAGCGTATATTATACCCTCATATGGCACTTAACGGAGCTGTGGAAGTCGGGACCAGGCGATGTTAGACATAATTTCGTTTTCGTTTTTGGTGCTTTTTTTTCCTTTTCTTGAGCTCAGGGTCTGTCACTTTTTAGCTATATGTATCTGTTGTGTGTGTGAGATTGTGTGTGCTTGTCTTGGGTTGAAAGGTCGTTGACAATGGTGAAACAACTGAAAATTTATGGTTCAACATTAAGGAAATTTAATCGATTCGTTGCAGCACGTGGTTGAACCATTTAGCCCCTCGCCCCTAGCCCCACACCTCCCACACTCAGTCCCTATTCAAATGCGTCATGAGAGACAGCGTGGCATTCGTGCCGTTGCCTGCATAGGTAGGACTATTACGATTACATAGACATCAAGGTAGTTTCAAGCCTGGAACCCTCTGTCTCTCGCCCACGCCCACGCCCATACCCACTCTGCCGTTGCCGTTGCCATTGCTGGCAGAGCACGCGTCATAAAAACCTTCTCATATGTATGCCCACGTCTACCTTATGAAAATTTCCTTAATGAAAAAAACATTCATTAAATTTAATTGGCCAAGTGAAATTGTGAATACTCTGCGAGGCTCTAGTAAATTGAAAGCTATTGTGAATTATACAATTATGCTCAGCTCTCAGTTTTGCTTCACCTACTGCTGTCTTCACATAGCTCGTGCGTCGTTTTCCAACACTGTTGCTAGTGATCTAAGGTATCTAC